TCCACTCCTCTGCCAACGAGGGCAAGAACGGCGATGTCACACTCTTCTTCGGTCTCTCTGGAACTGGCAAGACCACTCTCTCCGCCGACCCCAATCGAGCTCTCATTGGCGACGACGAGCACTGCTGGTCCGACAACGGTGTCTTCAACATTGAGGGAGGTTGCTACGCCAAGACCATTGGCCTGTCTGCCGAGAAGGAGCCCGATATCTTTGGCGCTATCCGATACGGTTCCGTCCTCGAGAACGTTGTCTTCGACCCTCTCACCCGTGAGGTCGACTACGACGATGCCACCCTCACTGAGAACACCCGATGTGCCTACCCCATCGAGTACATCTCTAACGCCAAGATCCCATGCCTGTCTCCCAACTCCCCCTCCAACATCATCCTCCTCACATGTGACGCCCGCGGTGTTCTGCCCCCTATCTCCAAGCTCGACCGCAACCAGACCATGTTCCACTTCATCTCCGGTTACACCTCCAAGATGGCCGGTACTGAGGACGGCGTCACCGAGCCCCAGGCTACCTTCTCCAGCTGCTTCGCCCAGCCCTTCCTTGCTCTGCACCCCATGAAGTACGCCAAGATGCTTGCCGACAAGATTGAGACTCACAAGGCCAACGCCTGGCTCCTCAACACCGGTTGGGTCGGTGCCGGTTTCGCTCAGGGTGGCAAGCGATGCCCCCTCAAGTACACTCGTGCCATTCTCGATGCCATCCACTCTGGCGATCTTGCCAACGTCGAGTATGAGAACTATGAGGTCTTCAACCTCCAGGTTCCCAAGACCTGCCCCAACGTCCCCTCAGAGCTCCTCAACCCCTCCAAGGCCTGGACTGCTGGTGAGGACAGCTTCAAGACCGAGGTTGTCAAGCTGGGCAAGCTCTTCCGCGAGAACTTCACCAAGTACGAGAGCGAGGCTACCGAGGACGTTGTCAAGGCTGGCCCCGTTGTCTAAGAAGAGGAAGAATGAGAGAAAAAGAACAAAAGGGAAAGCGTTTTTTTTTTGTTTTTTTGCGATTGGTCATGACAAATTCGAGCAACTGTTTATCATCTGGGATCGGCGTCATTACATGGCGGCCATCAACCGGCTGCCCTCATCTTTTTTTGTCCAAGGATTTCTTATATAGCACGAGATTGTGTGTATGTGAGCATGAACAAGGCTTTACGATTTCTGCAATAGAAAAACATTTGCTATTGATTTCTGACGTCTATTTGCTTGTGACTCGGCGACTTGCGAGATGCTGACAGATTCTTATGTTTCCCACTGCCTAAAGTGAAAGCCAAACAAAGCACATTTAACGTAGGAAAAGGCATAGATAAAGCACCGAGGTGCCATTCAGCGAAATTCTGTGCATCTATCTACCTGGGAGATCTCCTAGAACAGTCAGATCCGTCGACATCCTGTCAATAATGCTTTCATCTCACACCTCCAGCAGCTGCAAGCTGTGTTCACCCTGTCCCAAAATCGAATGTCCGATGAAGTCGTTAACATCTTCGGTCATAGCTTGACCAGTTTTCCGCTCAAGAATGCTCAAGAATGCTCAAATTTACCAAGCTTCAACGGGAGCAGCGGTATCAGCACCCCAAGCATCCCCGCCACCAGTGTTGCCGCCATCACCACCACCTCCCCAGGTATGACCGCCAGCGGCATTGCCGGCATTGTTGCCAGCATCCTCTCCCCAGGCGTCGCCAGCGTCACCAGCCCCAGCGTAATCGTTGGGGTCGAAGTCAGAATCTGCCTCAAACTTCAAATTGTTGCGAGCTTCACCTTCGGGAACGTACTGCTGGAGGAAGTCAGGGATCTCCTGATTAGTCTCCAGGAGTGTTCGGGTGAGAACACTGGCCATGGGCTCATCACGCTCCGAAAGAAAAGATGTGGCCACACCTCGATGGCCGATGCGACCAGTTCGGCCTAGTCATGTTAGTTAGTGAATCCCAGATAGAAGATGATAATCTCACCAATCCGATGAGTGTACTCCTCAATGCCGCCATAGTCGATCGATGGCATGTCGTAATTGATGACATGCAGGACATTCTGCACATCAATGCCACGGGCAGTCACTCCGGTAGCAATGAGAATCGGGGCATTTCCAGAACGGAAAGCCCGCATCGCGGCCTCTCGCTCCTGCTGGGTCCGATCACTGTGCATCGATGTGACCGGCAAATGCATGTTGAAAAGGAAGTCGTCCAAGTTATCTGCCGCCTGGCGACTGTTCACGAAAATGATGGTACGAATACCATGCATTTCCTCAAGTAGCTTGACCAACAGTTCCTTCTTCTGGGGGGCTTCAGCCTGCAGAACAATTTGCTTGATGTTGGAAGTGGTACTTCCGGCGCGGCCAACACGGAACCGGACATGAGAAGCCGCGAGGTAGTTCTTGGCCAGGTCACGAGCGGCCTTGGGGAATGTGGCAGAGAAAAGGCTAAACTTGACGTTGCCTTCATCCTGTTCTGTTGAACGATTAGTTTCTGATCGTCTGTGAATGCATAAGGTTATGCTTACCACCACCGGACAAGATTGGGTTAAGCTCTTCGGACCAGTCGTCATTCAGGAGTTCGTCGGCCTCATCAATCACCATATAACGCAGGCGTCGCAGAGTCAAGACTTTAGGGCGTTGAATAAAGTCCACCAGGCGACCAGGTGTTCCGATCAGGACATCGCATCCTTTCTGCAGGAGACAGGTCTGCTCCTTTACAGGAACACCCCCATAAACGACACCCGGACGGAGCATGGTACGATAACAAAGCTTACGAGCTTCATTGAAAATTTGAACCGCCAGTTCACGAGTGGGAACCACAATGAGTACAAGTGGCTCAGCAGTGACCTCGTCGAGGCCCTCGCGAAACGTCAATGGGTTGGGACGGAAAGCAGCAAGCTTCTTGGCCTTGCCCATGAGCTTGCTGAGAATGGGGATAAGGTACGCAGCAGTTTTGCCGGATCCTAAACGCAAATTAGTGATGCCGGTAAGTACCTCAAGGGGCACACATACCTGTTTGCGCGATGCCAATGACATCGTGTCCCATTAGGATAGAGGGAATGGTGAATTTTTGAATGGGCGTCGGGTTCTCATAGCCACAAAGCTCGATGTTCTCGAGCATGGCGGGATGGACGCCAGCGTCCTTGAAGGAGCCGATGGGATCGATTTTAGTCGGACCCTCCTGCTGAACCTCAATGCTCTCGATTCTATGACAAGGTTAGATGACAGGTAAGCCAGCAGCATGTATCAACTTACTGAGAGAAGTCGAGTCCAACTCGGTCGTGGCGAGTAGTGGGATCTCCGAACAATTCGAGCTCTAGCTCAGGATACTTGGGACCGACATCACCATACTCATCCTGCCAGGCATAGGCACGCGCGTTACAGCCCCACTGCTGGTCACCGCCACCGGAAGTCATGGAGGAATAGTCGATCGCCTGGGGCTCAGTCCATTTCCCCTGGGACGCATCGTATCCCTGAGTGCCGGGAGTTGCGGATTGGTCCTTCTGACCAGCGCTAGGGAGCGCTTCGCTCATGGCAGCGGTATCAAAAGTGTCCGCCATGGTGGTGTTTCTGTGGGCGTAAAGTTAGATAGATAGTTTAGAGATAATGGAACCCGGGGAATGGAGAATGAGAAATTGAATAACTGACTCGGGAGCTGGAAAGTCTCAAAACGAGAGGGGCTGATTTAGATAGGCAGGTCGAAACCAAAGTTATCAACGTGCTTGAAGAAGGAAGGTCAGCCAAGTTTCAACACGAGTTGAGGAACCACGCGTAATGTGAGAAGCAGATAAGAAACGGTGAAAGGGAAATAGGCGGGAAGAGAAGAGAAGAGACAGCCCAAAACACGGCGGGAGGCCAGGAGGTAAACAAGAGAAACATACCAGGCAACAACTTCCTGACAAAACAATAGAGACTACAACGCTTTGTAGTTATCTTGATGTTATACCTTAGTCGAGGAAGAAAAAGAAATATCTGACTCTTCTCAGGAGCAGACTGAAAGTGAAGTCGAAATGCAGATGTGAAGAAGGAATGAGGAAGAAAGAAGAGAAGAGAAGTTGAGGAGTGGCTATTTGTACTTCTGCCTGCACCGATTGTGCGCGCTGTGAATCACAGGCTCCTCAGGATTAAGGCATGGAAGTGCACGAATTGCTCCTTGTTTGCCGTTCGAGGCAGGTGCCCGTGTCAGAGGGTAGCAGCTTGCCGGCCGGCTGCCACTGCCATTGCTAACTTAGGTACCTTACTTCCTGCAATCCGAGGCACGCAACAAATGAAAACTGTACCTACGAAGATTGGAGGCTCAAGCCCCTAGTAGTAGAAACTGTTTCTGGTGAGTGAATACGGAGAAGTGTTATTCTGTGAGTGTTCACTCTTACTATTGAATAGTTTGGAGTTGATTCAAATCCATAAGGCTCTGGCGTAAAGCTGTAGATGACGTTTGACGAATTGAGGAACAATATTGATACCTTGTTACATTCACCTGATATATTGCTAGTGAACTCAATGGCTGTCCATGCTGTTCTTGTTCTTGTCACTTTGCTTCTGCATATCTACCATGAAATGCTTACAATGAGTTCTGCATCTGTCATACATTGCTGTTCAGACAGCACCGTTGCGGCATGAAGGAAGCGCTGGCATGTTATTTGATTCAGGCCTCTGGTAAAGTGCAGAGCTACAGGACCAGACATTGATAATTTTTTTTCCATAAGATTATTACATCTTCAAAGTTGGAGGAACCTGATGGGCTTATGTCTGAACACTCAAACACCAAATATTACCCAATCTGCCTACTAAGCTACTAAGGTATCTAAAGTATGCAGTAACCCGTTTCGATATTCTTTGATCGGACCAGATGTAGTCAGGACAAACAAGAAATCCGGATCTTGGAACCTACTGTCGCAAGTTACATAGCTCAATGTAGACAAGTCTTGCTTATTGTGATTGTACAAAAGTTGTTACTCACAACAACGTTGAGCTCAGACACACGTAACAAAGCAGTGAGTTTTTATCATGACATCAGCTTGAACCCTTCACCAGAGGCTCAGGAGATCCTGGGTATCCATTGCCGTCGAACTTTCATATTCGCCCATTCCGTCTTGAAGAACTTTGTCGAGGCCAGCTGCGGCTCGACCAGTAGCACCACCCTCTTTTTTCGCTTGGTCGGTGCCCTTCAGCACTGCCTCCAAAAACCTTCGCTCAAATACTCGTTGTCTTGCATCGCGACTGGGATACATTTCCCCCTCTTCGTCTCGTCGAGTACCATAAAGGTTGAGATATTCGAATGCATTCGAGTCTTGTGGGATTCGATATAAGTTGTCCCATATCTCCGACTCGTCTTCGGGAATCTCAGCTTCAGGCCGAAGACCAGCCTCCAGGAACCGTGATAGCGTGGCGATTTGTCGGGCATATGTCGAAGCATCTTTTGCCCGCAGACCAGATCTTGAGCCAGAAGACCATCCGGCTTTTGAAGTTGTCAATGCCCACCCCATCATGGCACAGAAACTGTTTAGGGTCTTCACCCAACCGCCAGGACACACGATCAAGTCGTTCTCTGCAACATCCAAAATCCATTCCATTACACCGAGAGAGTCATTGCTGATGTCGGCCGAGAGGTGTGTCATACCCGCCCGGATAAACATGATGGCTTGCTCCACACTGTGTCTGACCTCTTCGGCAGGTAGCTCTCTGAAAAGCTTGAGTAATTGACTTCGAACTGGCGTCGAGCTATCTGAGATGAGTGGAAGCAGTTTGGCGAGAACGGCATGTGTTCCTACTGGATTGACAGGAGGTTCTGCTGAAAGCTGTGAAGTAAGATAGGCCAATGCTTCTCGTCTTTGTTTGTCTGACTTTGAAGAAGAGGCTAGTGAGAGATTGTGTTTGAATTGTTGGGCGACATCAGGTGCGACTGTTGAGAGTGACTGATGCCCCATCACAATAGCTATGGCCCATCAGTAAATTGAAGGGAAACACACACAAATCTCCTCACCCTTTGACTTGAAACTTGTATCTGTGAAATTGGACGCTTTTGGCTTATCCTTGCCCACCTTGAACTTCGGTTTCTACATCTTGTTGGTGAGTTGCACTTCAACAATGCCGTAGTGATTGAAATCATACCTGGAAGTCCTTTTGCTTCTCGCGCTTCTTCTTGTTGCTGGAACCCATGATGTCGGTTTGTTGAGGTCACTAGAACAGATGTATAAAAGTAACAAGTAAAGTTCGGATACCGCACAATGTCAGGTTATTCCCTAAGATAATCTTTGTTATACGGAATACTGAGGTTTGGATTCTTTGATCTTCAACTGATAAGATCTACCTTCTTTCCCTGTTGGGGTTCTAAAATTTTGGCGGTGTCGGATGGCAGAACCTTCATCGTGCCCCGCGGCGTCACCTTAACGCAAGGTCCGACCACGCTAGACCAATACATCGCGACAATCAGCGGTATCGAACATCACCATACCCAGCTACTATAAGAATGGCTGAATCTTCACTAGTATGCTGAGAACAGAGGCTTGAGATACTTTGCGAAGCTAATAAACGGACAGGCTAATGGCCATGATGCCCTCGAGGAGAAGCTCGGCCGATTGTCAAAGAAACCTGGTGTTAAAGCCAGCATCATTCTTGACCGAACCACTGGCGCTATCCTGAAAACCAGCGGCCAAATCGATGGTCTTCAGACCTCTAAGACGCGAACCACATCTACTGCAACATCGTTTTCCAACGAAGGTCCTGCACTAGAGGAGAGCGAAACGAAAGGAGTCGAGCAATTCGCCGCGATCGTCTGGAACTATGTGAATAGCTCCGGAAGCTTGGTTCAGGAGCTGGATGGTGAAGTGAGGATCATCACAGGCGTCACAGGCTCATAGCTAACAATCAGTAGGATGAGCTGAGGCTTCTCCGCTTACGAACAAGGAAGCAAGAATTGGTCATTGTACCTGATCCCAAGTATTTACTTGTGGTTGTGCATGACACACCTCCAGCTTGAGCTACGAACCACGCTTATCTAAGTCTTACCAATGTCTGGGCGTCCCAGATCTCCCACTTACCGACTTCCGGTGAAGGGCTAGGGGAGCGATTTGCCTTGATTCGAGAAAGATGTTCTGTTTCATCGACTGATCAACTGGGAATGTGACGGGCCGTGGAATCGACAAGATGCAGGGGATTATTACTGGTGTGTTGCATTCGGGATGGTCTTGAGTAAGGCAAGACATCTTGAACGAAATTACGATTGAAACACATGGGCTGGAGTCTGCGCATGCATCTCTGCCATGTCTCGAAGGGAAGAAAGAACAAGAGAGGCATATCAACATGGGTCAAAAGGGCTGGAGTCTGCGCCCTCGCGGCTATCCCGTTACCCGATTTCCTTTTACTGTGCTTCCCGTCACTACGGGACCATCACGGGGTCCGCCAATGTCCGGCATAAACAATTGGGATGGGAAAGGCAAATAAATCCGCCGCTGTAGGTAGCCGCGTGTTTCGAAGGTTTAATGGGCCGAACAATTACAGCTGGATCGCGCCCCTTGTTTCACAAGGGCCCCATTGGCGACGAAAATGGTGGTGGCCGGGGTGGAAACGCTAGGAGCCGTTGGAAAAGAGCACGGAAAGGCCTCATGGGGGTCATGGCAATTGAGGATCACACATAGATATCGGCTACCAACACAATTGAGCAGCATTTCCGGTCCAAACTTGTAACGGACAAAGTTGCGAATGTGAGCTTCTTCTGCTTGGTCAGGACCGAGCAAGGTTCATACGGGGCAGCGCAGGAAAGACGGAACGCACGCACAAAATACGTGCGCACGTCCTTATCCTTGACCAGTATCCAGGATGTATGCGGATAACGAAAACGCTCAACAATCAGGGTCACATACTCTGACTTGGAAGAAGGTTGCAAGGACTGCAGGGCTGATACATGGCCAAAGGCAAACACGTCAAGTATCGATCATACATATGTCTGATCCCAAGAAGTCCCAAGTCTCAGATCATCAGAACTAATGTTGCTGACCGAGCGCCATATCGATCTAAGGTTCCGATATGATTTGTACTATTTTCGGCAAGATAACATTCCGAAACTAACGAGGGATTTCCAACTTGACCGTCTGTTCACCTTGGAAGGCTTATTTACACCTTGTCTTGTCTTGTGACTTTCACTTTCACTTTACGATGCCAGGTCCTTGCCGAAGCGGCGAATTCTCCCTGGTTCGCTTCTCGCAACGGCGGTTTCGAAACACGTCGTCTTACTCCCTCCACTTTTACACATTGGCTTCCGCCAGAGAGGCCCACAAACTCCCGCAACTTCCAGCATCAGGATTCTCGAGCTTGAGGCTAAAATGGCCTCCCTCCGGATGACAGGAAATGAACCCCGGTTACGTACAGTGCAGTGCTGCCATTCTACGATAACATTGACCGTAGCAGTTCATGTGCCTACCTACCTATCTTGTTACATAATGAACTCTATAGTCGGGTCTTGACGTACACCACAAGGGCTGAGTATAACATTCTTAGCATGTTTCCCATGTAACACGCACTAGTGAGTCTAATTTGATGTTTGCCAACATTCGTACGGCAGACAAACTCTGGCATGATTGATAGATTGCGTCCACCTTCTATTGCAAGGATCAATGCTTGCCCACGTATGCCAGGGGCCTTTGAAACTTCTGTTCTAACCATTGGGTATTCCGCACTCCGCTGCTCTGTAAGACTGGAGCGTGCAGTACTGTACCATACAGTATGTATATAGACCGGGTCCTGGGTATTATGCCGGCTTCCATATTGGATTCGGACCTGTATCTACTCACATCGATTCGAATCGCAGATCTTCCGTTTTACCCATATTACCCAGGCTTGGTACATACAAAGAGCAATCCACGATCGTCCAGGTTGGTTCAAGGCCCACGCTTCCAAGGTCTCCTGGATATCCACGCGTGGAGACAGCTGCATGTTGCACGAACAAGAAAAGAAGCGGACACAAGAGAGACTCGGGAGAGAGGGGATTATATCTGCTGCACGGGATTGTACACCAATGACCTGAGACAGCCGTTGAACTCCTGGAAAGGGAAAGCATTGTGTGCTTAGCATATTCATACGTACGTACGTGGATCAGCCAACAAAGACCTATAATTGTATAGCAATACGGGTGCAATGACAGCAATGGCTCCATTCTGTTCTCCGTCGAGTCATATTTTTGAATCTCGAGTCCCCTTTCGTATTCCAATACAAATGCCTGAGGAGTTGTTGAAAGCTGGATGTTCTGGTGCCAGTTCATGCCGCAGTCCAACAACCCACGCAACGCAACGCAGAAAAAGGAGCACCTACCTGACTGACGGAGGCAGTAGTTAGGGAACACATCAATCAATCAAACAAGAGGCTGTTGCTTTACAGCCTGTCTCCTTTATCCGGAGTGGGCCATGGTGCTTGTATCCAAGTCGACCTGCCCACGATCAACAATATCAATCTGAACCTTCGGCGGCGGATGCCCGCGCTGCGCTGATACTGACGCGGCTCTCACATGGAAGACCTGCGATCCATCGCAACAAGATCGCAGTATGCCATTGAGCAAACCAAGGCCGTCTCCACGGTCAACTGCCACGAGCAGTTTCAGCGACACCACCGACAAATCAGGGGCAAAATTGACTGATGAGAATAAGAATGCGCCGTCGCAAAAGCGACATGAACGGTCAAAGTCCCGGGGACTACTACTACCCCAGAGCCAGAGCGGCGCCACATCTACAGCCACCACCAGCATAATACCGACCAAATCTCCTATTGCTGATGGAGATGCCCAAAACGAAAACGATGAGAATGATCCCATTGACGGTTCTGGTGCCATTGGCGCATCTGCATCAACCGGGGGTCGTTTTACAAGGCCAGACTATCTACTCCATGGTTTGCTTACACGAGCGAAGAATCGTGTAAAAGATCGATCTGGACGAGACAAGGAAAAGGGCAACGGAGATGTAAGTCAAGATTTTGATAAGTTATTCACTGGAATTATTCCTGATGAGACACCCACCCACCATCTCCGTCACAACTGCAAGTCATCCATTCCCTGATCAGTGCGCATCCTCAGAGACAATGGAAGATCAGACCACTGCTCAGCCCAGCCCAGCCCAGCCAACCACTGTCGTGTGCTAGGGCGATCTTCTCTCAGGTCATGCGATTGCCGTTCGGGGCCCTGAATTGGCCCCTCCATGGGCTCAGTTCGGGGGCGCCTTTGACCGATGGTATTATCCGGCTTAGAGATGTCATGATGGTCCAATGTCCGGTCATTCATGTCAATTGACTCGGCGACTTTTTTCCCTTTAAGCACTACCTGTATTTTAGTTTCTTGTGACCCTGTCTGTACCCCCAATTGCTTCCCTCCCCCTCTCTACTGTACTGCACTTCTGTCTCAGAACTAATTGCTCCCTTCTTCACTGCAAACAGACAACATCAACTGTTACAAGTCCAACCAAAGCCTTCTCTTCCTCCCCGCATTCTCCTCCGCCACGCGCCGCTCCTCCCGACCGAGGCTTCCGTCGTAAAGCCCCACCTCGAGCTTCTACAGGCAGATCTCAAGGTACTAAGACGCCTTCATCGTCACAGTCGCCATCACACTCACCACCACGGGCTCTCACTTCCCCGCGTTCACCACCTGATCAGAACAAGCCTCTTCCTCCTCCACCTCCTCTGCCGAACTCGGGTGCCTTGTCCGACAAGGAAAATGCCACTTCTCCTCCGTCCAAGCCCGTCTTGAAGCTGAATAGAATCATGTCTACTCTTACCGACTCAGAGATCGAGAAGCTCTTCTCTGGCGCCCCCCAGTACTTTGCCCGTAGCGAGGGGCACTGTTCTGGCGCCCCCAATCCCAGCGTCGCATTCCCTTTTGATGAGGCATTGGAGATTCGCGATCTCACTGATCATGTCCAAATTGAAGATAGAGCTTGGAGTGGCCTTACAGCATGGCCTCATCTAACTCGAGATCTCAATCAGGATGCCGCTGCCCGGGCACAGGCCGTTGACTCTCGCAAGGCCCATTTCTTCATCCGCTGTCGAGAACGTCCCAACATGCTGAGCATGCAAGGTCTAGAGAAGGGCACCATGGGCTTCTCAGCTGCCCTTGAACTCGCCGTTGGCGATGCCCTCGAAGAAGAGCAGTTCGGTTTTGACAGTGTTGGCAAAAAGGCCCATGCCATTGTTGAGGCACGTGAGCGCATGCTTTCCTCTCTGGGCTACCTGCGTCGTCTCCCTGAGACAGAGCTGCTGGATCGTCTCAAGCGAAACGCCGAGCTATACCGGGTCAATGATCTTCGAAAGAAAACTTCCGTCCAGACTTATCAGGATCTCTTTCACACTTTTATGCGGCCATGCAATTCCGTTGTCGATAAGCGCGACCACTATAGCTTGACCAACCAGATCAATGCCTTGATCAAGTGTCTTGGCACCGCCAACGTTTGGTTTGACTTCACCCATGTTGAATGGAGGATCAGATTGGGTCAGATTCTTTGGGGAGGTGAAGACAACGATGAACTTGAGGATACTTCTTCCATCCACGACGCTAGTAGTGCCAGCGAACGGGCCGAGGAGAAGTATTGGCTTCTCATGCAGATTCTTGTTGCGACCGAACTCCTCATCCGCTTAGATGCCATCACCGAGGGTGAAGAATATGGAGTCGAAGCTTTCCGACCCGTAGATGTTGTTCACTTCGAAAGAGCCGCCACTCCCATGGTCAAGTGGTCGCTTCATCTTGCTAGGAGCTGGCTCGACAATATCGAGATTGAGAAAATCAAAGAGGATCCACCAAGCGACGCTTCCGAGACAAAGGGAAAAGTTACCCCTCCGCCTGCGACTGGCTGGCTAGGCGCCCTCTTCAGTAAGTTTATCGTCCGTCAACATCATGAAGACAAGACGACAGCAAGCCATACCTATACTATTAAAGGTCGCAACCCACAACAGCAGGTGGATGGGCTTACTCATTTCGCGAAGAAGCTACTCTGGCCCAACATCGACACATACGAGGGACTCATCGCGAAGAACGCTCGTCAATCGATTATTAACCCCATGCCTAAGCCTGCTCCTGTGATAGCCTCTGAGAGATCATCAAAGTCTTCTGAGTCGAATGGATCTAAGCGGGGACTCTACTTTGGTGCCTGGGACCGTCCTGGTAGTCAGAAGGATAAGACTCGACCACAGCGACGAAAGCTTGCAGCGGCGCTTCACCCCTCCGGATGGCTTTCGAAATCATATATCTATGGTCTGGTACTCCCTGGAGATGGCATGTGCCACTTCCTGATGGCCACACTTCTCGAGAACGACAGTAAAGCCATGGAGCGTTTGGGCTCGTTCGCCAATTTGTGTGGAGGGTTTGTGTATTCTGGCAAGAGCTTTTGGAGCACGTCATGCATCGTAGGGCGAGTTATTGCAGCAGGTCAGGGATCAGCCGAGTGCATGGGATGGGTTTCCAGCGACATTCTACCCCTGGGCATAGATGAAGGTTGGGTAAACATTGAAGTAGAAGAAGTGGCTGGTAAGTTGTTATATATTGTGAGAGGAGCATTAGGCTAACAGACAGAAGAGGACAAGGCCCATCTGGGCAAGAAAGCGAGACTTTGGGCAAAGAAGCGAGTTGAACGAGAATCATCCATCCTCGGAGATGCTGATGAATATTCTGTGTTCCCTGCCGACTTTATCATTCCCCACGAGAACAACTACTCTACGCCGCCACCGTTGATCAGCGTTACTTTACGGTCGCTTGAGCTTCTTTCTCCGGCCAACTCAATTCAGTCCACGCCCTTCACCAAGCTGACACCCGGTGCGAGTGTGAGCAACAAGGAACCCGAGTTGTTATCGTTCCCAGCCAATGTCAACTTTGCGGTGTCGATTGACGGATTTACGGCTGAGAACTTCTCATTCTCCCTATCCTATGACATTAACTTTGTCACGGCGCACCCCTGCTCGCCTTCTCATCGTGTCCGATTTGTTAAGTCGCCATCAAGTCCGACAATCCAGCAGATCGATGTTTCCGGGTCAGATACGTTTGGGCAAGGTTCTCGACCTGCTCACAGAACAGGCAAGTCAAGTGGTTTCCGGTCAATTTCGCACAGCTAACTCTAGTCAGGCCATCCCTTACACAAATATTATAATTACACTGTTATTCATATTTCGGAGCTTCTAAAGCGGCAGCATGCTCCCCTTTCGGAGCTTCTGGCTGTTCCTCAGACTCACCGTCGCTCGCCTTCACGCATGGGCAGCGAACGAGTACTTGTTATTGACTGTATCACCAACTTGTCAGAGGTTCCTCAATCTCCCACGATTGAGAGACTTACCTCAAAGTATAATATTGTTCAGCGAAGAGGTAGTTTTCCTGCTGCGGAACAGATGCATTTCGAGTCCAGAAAACGACAGTTTGGCTCCGACATGGAAATACTGGTTCGTGCTCTTTGCGCTCAAAAGGGCTGGAACGCCATCATCAGTCGACGGAAGCGAGGATGTCTGGCTTGTGCTATTCGTGAAGCTGGCGCATTACAGTGGAAGGTTATCATTAGGGTGGAGTAGGAAAAGCTCGCCTACGTTGTAGCGAGCGTATGATTTGGCGTTTATGTCGTGGGAGTATGCTGTGTTTGTGAAATGGGTACAAGGTTAAGCCTTTGTCTTTGGTTTGGTTGTGATGATACATGTCTAGTACGCTGGATGACCTGAGAGGATACCCGTTATGTATATATACACGAAAGAGATGTTTGACTTTATCCGTTCTAATTTTTGCCTCTGGGTAACGCTACCGTTGAAGAGCTTCTATAACGTGAAGATTCATGTTCTAGGCACTGTTAATAACTGATTCCTCGATCGTAGGCATATGAAGCCATTTCCTATTTAGGTAGGTAGGTCATTTCTACGCCACGCTACCCCACTCAGGGAAGCGCCACAACTCAAGCCGCCCCCGAGACGACAGGTCGCGCGAGCTCAGAGGTAATTGCGACAACCATTGAACAACCGTCATTCCTCCTCATTCACAGCAGCAAATATGTCGCCTACCAAGGACCCCAGAAGAGTTGACCTGAGTACGATTGCCCTCTAACTCCAAGTATCAGTCAATGACCTCGCGCACGAAGCACAATTCGATCTTCACGATTGCGACATGAAGCTAACTGCGTGACAGTCGTCCCTTACCAAGAGCCCAAGAGCTCAGGTGACTCGACCGATCTCTCCTCAACGATGTCTACTACTCTGCCTATGGCTGCTATGTTTACGCGCAACAAAATGGTTGGATGGTACGTTTGCCAAACGAGCCTTGAGAATGCGGAGAAGTGGCGCGATGCGATGCGATGCGACACGAATTGAAGCGAGATATAAGGCCGGGTTGCTAACGAAACTTGATATAGGGCGTCAGTTGTCTTCTCTATCCAGAGCTGGCTCGGCGAGAGCGAGGACTCGAAGAAGAACTCCACCACTCCTGGATACTTCTCCGTTGGCATGTCCAGTATGGCCACCCCTATATCGTTCGAGAATTGAGAATCCGTGCTGACGGGACGCAGTTATGGCTCTTGCTGTTACTTACCTCCCTATGTTCCTCCCTCCCGTCGGTGGCAAGCAGGCCTCTGGCACCGAGGCCCCTGCTCCTGTCCCTCTGGCATAGTAAGCAAAGAGGTCGGGCTGTATACAACGAGAGGACTTGCGGAATGGAAAACCACCCTTAATTATTGCTGAGCGTTATCGTTTTCTAGGTTCCAAATTGATCCGTACTCTGGGCGGGAATAGATGGACAGGATATCTGTATTATGAGTTCTTGTAAGAGTGAACGAGTTTTCAAGTCTGAAGAATTCTGCATCCTTCGCCCCAATCTCACGAACGATGACAGCCTGATTTCGTTCTACATGATGTGGTTGTCGATGACTTCAATGCTATGCGGGAGTGAAAATGGATCAGAAGTGCGCATATTGGTCTTGATGGAAGCGCAACTATCATCACCTGGGCTGTTTGGTGTCAATAGTTTGTTTTATTACATACACCTCCAGTGCCTCTCCTTCACAAATCTCAAAGGCAATGAGTGACATTAAGTTTCGGGTGGAAACGACATGAGTAAATGCTTAGATGATGCTTTCATATTGATAAATCAAAGGCACACTGTGAAGAGCACGTAATAAAGATCATGACTGTGTTACGCACTTAAATTTATAAGAACGAGGTTTCAGGCTGTAAAACGTTAAGGATGGCTCATTACCTATTGGTGGATGTTACTGATTGTATAAGATTATTTATGAGCAGGGTCTAATAACAGTGGAAGGAGAAGGGGAGCTATACCTCAGTCTTAGGGAGCAAGAAATCATCGAGCCTCAATATTACCTTAGATGTCAAAATAAAATCAGCAAAAGGTATCCTAAATCTAGTCTAATTTATACCAAGTTACCTAAATCTTTTTATCATCTGAGGTCAAGGTCCGAAGTTTTCTTTCCTCCCTAACTACCTTAGGTACGTACCTTAGCTGCAGTACTCCATACCGCGGGGCTACCTGTTTTACAGTGCTTTACGCGGGCCACGTATAGAGGGGTTGTGAGCTAGTGACATAAATATCAGACATACTATCCACCAAAGCTCGGACTGTTCAAGGCTCATTATTATGACACCCTCAATCCGTTGCCGGGGCAATTCATTATGTCATTTTTTGGACGATACCGAAACGATACACTCATGCAAAGTCCCTTGTACTCAACGGCTTTACCAAGCTGCACATACCCTCACGACGACACTCACCGCCCGGCGTTTGAATGAAGTACCCTGACGACCTTTCAAACTGGTCGCCCAACAAACATATCAGTAAACCAAAGCCCGGTGGTCGTTTTGCATTTAAACCACGAACGACCCTCTCATCAAAACAACAACCTGACTTCTCCAAACTTGGCCCAAGCCATACCCATACCCATACGCATTCCAAGACACGTCTCAGCGATTCTACTGCTCTTCGAGACCTCGGCACCATGGTCAACGAACGGGCGCCTCCCAAGGTGCCTCTAAACTCTATCAATCCGAATGGAGAAAACACATCCCGCGAGTTGTCTCCCGACGATGATATCACTGCCCTTGTCCGTGGTATGAGCTCGCTCAAAGGCAAGGTTCGGGGAGACATGAGCGACCCCTTTAATCCCGCCGACGCAACCAACACGCCCACATTCGGTCATCCTACCAAGATGATGTCCTCTCGTAAGCAGAGAGCAGACCCTTTCATACGGCAAAAGACACGACCGGAACACCACCTCGATAGTCGAAACAGCAACAGCAACAACGGTGCTAGAATCACAGGCCCCCGAGGCCCCGTATATCAGGATCGAAGACCACCACCAATGCCCATGTTCAGCTCAGGTGCACCTTCTGCACCACCAGTTGCGTCCTCATATGCGCCAGCAAGACATTACGGCGAGGAGATTTTCTACACAGATCCTGCCAAGGCGAGTGCTGATTTGAAGGCTTTGCTTGAGGGTGGCATGGAGGAGGGCGAAGAGGAGGGTGGAGAACAAAGCCAAGCTGATCGCCCAAAGACATCAGAAGATCCAAAGGATGCCAAAGACGGCACAGTGGATGGCCTCAAGGTCAAGCTACTACCTCACCAGGTCGAGGGAGTTGAGTGGATGCGCGGACGAGAACTTGGCCCTGTGAAGCGAGGAAAGGTCCCCAAGGGAGGCATTCTCGCCGACGACATGGGTCTTGGAAAGACTCTTCAGACCATTTCACTTATCCTCACCAACCAAAAACCAGCCAAGGACACACCTGGATGGAAGAAGCACTTTGAGAAGATCGAAAAGACAACTCTGGTGGTGGCGCCACTTGCTTTGATTCGACAATGGGAACACGAAATTAATGATAAAGTGGAAAAGACCCACGGCCTCAAAGTCTGCGTACACCATGGACCGAACCGTACGAAGCGATTTAAGGAGCTCGCTCTCTACGATGTTGTCATCACAACTTATCAAATCCTGGTCTCGGAACATGGCAATTCCTCAGATGCCGAGAATGGGTTGAAAGCGGGATGCTTTGGCTTGCACTGGTGGCGAGTCGTTCTCGACGAAGCCCATACAGTCAAAAATCGCAATGCAAAGGCTACCAAGGCTTGCTACGCCCTCAACTCTGAATACCGATGGTGCTTGTCTGGTACACCTATGCAGAACAACCTCGATGAACTCCAGTCCCTTGTCAAATTTCTTCGCATTCGACCCTACGACGATCTCAAGGAGTGGAAGGAGCATATTGATCTACCCCTGAAGAATGGCCGCGGCCACATCGCCATCCGCAGACTACACAGTCTTCTCCGATGCTTCATGAAGCGAAGAACCAAAGAAATCCTCAAGGAAGCTGGAGCACTTAACCCTGGTGGTAAACCTTCCGCCGAGGGTGAGGGGTCCTCAACAGGCTTCAAGGTCACCGAACGAAAGGTTGTTACTATATCGACTGCATTGTCACCTGCAGAGCGTAAGTTCTACGATCGATTAGCTGCTCGAGCAGACCGAAGTATTGAGCAGATGATGCAAGGCAAAGTCAACTATGCCAACGCTTTGACCCTGCTGCTCCGCCTACGCCAGGCCTGCAATCATCCCAAACTGGTTGAGGGCAAGCTGGAGAAGGACAAAGACGCAATGTCTACAGACGCTACCCAGAAGACCCAGGATCCGGACATTGATGCCATGGCTGACATGTTCGCTGGTATGGGCATCGTTTCTAGGGACTGTAATATTTGTGGGCGAGGCTTGAGTCACGAAGACAATAAGTCAGGCAAAGACATCTGCTCTGACTGCTACGATGACCTAGCATATTTCAACAACCACGAAAGGCCAGAGCGGTCAGAGCGATCCAAGAAGCCCAAGAAGCCCAAGGATAAGAGCAGGAAGAAAGACAAGAAGAAAGAAATTGTTGACGAAAAAGTCATTCACAGGCAAATTGTTGAAGTTGATGATGATGATGACGACGACGAGTCCCCTAAGAAGACCTCGGGGCGACCTCGCCACCGAAACACGGTAGTTGACAGTGATGACGAGGACGCAGAGTCCCCAAAGAAGACAGCTCGCCAGCCTCGGAATCGAAACGCCATCGTTGACAGCGATGATGAGGAAGAAGAGGCGGAAGGCTCATGGCTTGTGCCCGAGGATCAGCGGGGCTCCATACATCTGGGAGAGGCTGGCGGCGAAGAAGATGAGAATGCCGAGGGCGGAGGCGACTGGATTGGCTCCGATGACTCAGAAGATGAAGAGAGTAAGGTTGAAGACAAGAGCAACTTGAGCAGCTTTATTGAGAACGACGAGAGTAAAGGGGACGTGGCTTCTGACTCTGATGACTCCTTGGCGTCCTTGACAGATATCACAAAGCGCATGGCTGCCCAGACGCTGGACGATGGGCCGTCTCATGCAGCTGACACCACAAAAGCAGGCACAGATGCTGATACTACGGCCGCCGATACTACTGCTGCTGATACGACAGCTGTTTCTGGATCATCAGCCTCAGATTCGGGATCTGATTCTGGCTCTGATTTTGACTCTGATGAATCAGATGTCTCGTCTGAAGAAGACGATAGT